ACTTACTGTAAAATTATGTTTTTTCTCTAATACCTAACTGCAGAAACTAATTTCTATACTGTTTAAAAGAAAAAAAAACTGTAAAATTGTATACTTCATTTGAAAACCCATAGCTACATTTTATTTAAAACTGTTGAATTTTTGTAACAATTTATATTAATATTTTAAGAAAGTTAGTACACATTTAACTCTTAATAGATACATTTTGCCTTAAAACAAGTACAAACGATATACATTTTAGTGAGAAAAATTATTTTTCAAGAATTTAAGGTTAAGCAATTAACTACATAAAAAAAAATTAGAGCTTCATTTTATTTCTGTAAATAAAAATTAATTTCAATAAACTAGTGGTTTTGAATAAAAAGATATTCTAAAGATAATAACTTATAAAAATTAAACTGATATTTTATTATTCTAAATTCCAGATTTTAATAAATACAGTTTAAAATCAAATAACAATTATCTATGACACAGATATATACAATAAAATATTGTTTATTGCACACATCTGTGATTTATGATATGTTTTTAGTTAAACCATTTTTTCTTAACTTCCTATATCAGAAGCGTTAATTATGTGACATGCATAGAACTTTCATAAAATAATACATTATACAAATAACAGAGCTAGGCTATAACCTAGGCTCTCTAATATAAGCTATATATCATTGCATTCATGTAGTAAGTATTCGTAAAAAATATTTAAATAGATTATGTTATATTTAGCTAAGATAATTATAAAAGTAAAATAATGGTATCTAGTATTTATACCATAACAATATGTTAGTTCAAATTATTTTTATAATAGAACCAAGTATAAAATATTAATAATAAAAAAGAAGTAGAGCACATAAAATTACTATTTAAAAGTATGCTTTAAATTCCATTATTGCCATCAATACATAATAGTATATTTTTTTTGAGTGTTTTAACTTTTAACCAGGCATGAAAATTAATTTTTCTACATTTCAAATTTTAATCTTATAATAACTTTAAACATTTTAAAATATAAAAAAATGATTATAGTAGAAAATAAAAAATAATGCACACTGGATTAAAAATGTTTGAGAAACTCTTCTGAACAAATTCTCGCTCTTGCATTAATTGCCAACTTCATTTCACTGATCTCTTTGTCAATTTCTTCCATAAATCGAATAATGAAATCAATAAGTTTATTCCTGTACATCTGTTCCACATGCATGTTAGTGATTAAGAATGTTATGTCATATCCAGCTATTGGTTTCCTTCTTAGAATGAAAAAATTTTCTGCTCGTTTCATCATGAATCGCGTGAACTTATCACACAATAATCGCTCAATCTCATCACATTGTTTAATTGCTATACTCACCCTTATTGAATTTATAGAGCTCTCAATAAAAACACGTTCTCGCTCATTACGACTGATCAACATTGGAGTCAATATTAACTCCCTGTTGGTTTGCATTTCTATTTCTGGTTTGCTGTGACGTTCAACCACCTGCGAGTAAAATTGGCTAATGCAAATGGCAGCATCCAACGAATGCTTTACAACTGAAAGGTAAGGTTTTAGTGTAGTGGTCATTGTTGAAATCTAAAAAATATCAAAAATATAAACAACATATGAGAATAGTAATAAGTTTGAAAATTCAACGAGAATAATTCTATTTAAATTTTATATAATTTTTAACAATACTTAAAGTATAATAAGAAAATGTTTTCAAAATCATGATCAGAATTTGATAAATTTATTTGGAGAGGCTGAAGTCCTGGCTCTAGTTTCAATATGCTTTATTATTATTATAATATACCTAATTATTATTGAAATTATAATTTACAATATTGCGTAAGCAAATGTATCCAAAATTAAGTCAATACTTTGATATAAAAAATCTAAGTCCTGGCTCTAGTTTCAATATGCTTTATTATTATTATAATATACCTAATTATTATTGAAATTATAATTTACAATATTGCGTAAGCAAATGTATCCAAAATTAAGTCTTAATATTATATTAACAATATAGATACAATTATAAAAACACTAATCAGATTAAATTCAAAACATTTACTTAGATTTTTTATATCAAAGTATTGACTTAAAATAATAATTCAAGGACACAATGTGGATAATATCCACTGGATTTTCAAATAGAAATTATAAATGGTCCTAAAAGCAACTTCAATTTGGTTATAAATGAATACCTATATTTTTTATTATATATACAATAATTATAAATACAAGAACACAGATAAATTTTTACAATCTATTATTAATTTGGTAAGTATTGGCAATAACCAAAATAGAACACTTTGGCTGGATCTAAAATATGGATACAACCAATTTTAAATGTGCAGCGGAGTAGCCAGGGGATTTTGGATATTTACCCCTTCTCTCCAGCTGGGTACTATTACCTTCCCAACTACATCTAACCTACTTATTATTAACATGGGGGAGGGGGGTGATTTTTTTCTCAAAGACAATATCATATAACATCACAATATCTATACGTATTACTTTAACACAAGTGATGGGAATAATCGAAATGTTATCGTAATTCATAATCAAGTTTCTATTCAATTAAAATAATTGAGATATTATATAGAATGAAATTAATTTTTGAATCAATTTAAATCGGAATGAAAAAAATTTGTTGTCAAAAAAAGATGATTTTTTTTAAAACCAATTCTAAAAATATTGAAGTTAGGTAAATAATTAATAAACAATGTATTTAACACTAACATTGTAGTTCTATGAAAATGTTTAATTTAGTTAAAAATATGTTAGTTAATTAATGTTTAATTACCACATAGGTAGGGCTGAAATTGGTTAGACTATTTGAAAAAGTGACTAACATACACTTGTTTCATTTGTCTTTGAATCCCTATATTTATAATTTGATTGATTCAAACTTACTAATTTTTGCTGAAATTACAACAAATAATGATTATAGTTAACACAAATTTTAATATCAAATAATTATATCATATTACTTATTTAAATTAATAATGTTTATAAAGAATAATACACAAGATCATTTTTTAGGATATACTTTTATAATTATTTAAAATTCATATTTGATTTGAGATAATATGGTCCGTATTTGGATAATTATTTTTGTGTTATTTATGAAACTGTTAACTGTTAAGAGATTACTAGATTAGTAGAATAAAAGTACTCGAGTATAATATTATTAGTAATTATTTTATTATTTGTTACTTATTRCAATTTGAGTGACTACTAAAGTACTAACAAAATTAGTAATTACTAGTTTTTTATTTGGTTACAAGAATTGAGACCAAGCAAATCATTTGATTATTTTTCCTAACAATCGAGTTACTCAATTATTCACATCACTATTTAACACTACTAAAGAATATTTAGTGAAATAATACAAAAAACTGAAAAACCCTAATTCCTGATACTAGCTGTAGGAACATAATTAATATAATATTACTGTATACTCTACCGCACAAATATATTACACAAACAACTAAGTATTGTGGTACAAAAATAAACTACTGGGCAGTCAAATATTATTTTATCAAAGGGAATGAGACACATCAGCTAAGCCTTAGAATGTATAACTATTTTAATTGTATGATAATATTTAAACAATGTGCGACTCATTTTTTCCAAGAGTACGTCCAATTAGGCATTCATGTTCTTATTATGGTATATTATAGGTAAGTAATTATCACAATGGGTATACTGAGAGGAGCTTAAAGTATATACAAATATTATTTTCTAATTAATAATTATATTAAATAATAATAAAAATCTCTCCCCCCCCTCCCCCCATAACAGCACAAACTTGCCCAAATTATGTGACTGCTATCTAAGTAAAAATTAATGTTTTTATTAATAGTTTCATTTATGATGGACACATAAATAATTGATCGAAAAAAGGAGAATGTAGGTAAGATAAAGTAATATGTATAATAAATACAATGTTCATCTCAGTTTGAGTCAAAATTAAATGCCAACATTACCCCAACATTATGTAGATAATGATGTACAGTATGTGATGATTATGAGATGTTTTTACAATATATCGATAATATAAGCAGTAAAGGTACACTTCACTCACCTTTAAAAAAAATATTATACTCAATATTGTGAATATGCGTGTATATTTTTGTCGAATATATGTGTTGAGGGAAAAATTATGAGAAAATCCTTATGGGGTATTCCGTGTAGATAGCGAGTTAAACATCTATTGGAAAAATACTGAGTACTTATAAACGGACTATTGTAATTGTTATGTTTAAATTTTTAATTATTGTTCAACTAAAACTAATGAAAAAATAGTAATTTATAAACAAGAAACAGATTAAACAGAAGCCTGAAATGTTGAATTCGTGTATTATTATTTTTTAACCAACTGATAAGTTTTGACAGCATTGAATGCTGATAACACGACCACCACCTTCCCAATGGTTACCAGTCTACCACCACGATTAAAGATAGTATATACCACCATTGAAATTGAACTATTATAGTCAATGTATACCACATGACATTTCTTAATATAATCTATGATTAGGTATATCATCATAGATAATAAAGAATATAATGGATAGGACATTGTTCTAGGATAGGACATAACCACATAACGCGGGTCTTATCAGTGGGAATTAAGGAGAAGGCCACCGCCATCGACCTGTCCATGATAGTTATATCACTTATATCATGGACCTGTCCTAAACTCGATGTCTTCACTCTTCAGTCTTCATAGTTCATAGGAGCCAAGATTTTGATCTTTCACATTGTCTTAGTTTGGGTTTGAAAGACGGGATTTATGCATTTACACACAGACTAACAACTTCATATTCTCTAGTATAAATAGTATAATATTATTACCTATATTATAATTTAATTTTGTACAAACTTATTTGATTATCATCAGATATTAATTCCAACTATTCAATAATAATTATTTAATATTAGTAACTAACTAAAAATTCTTATTTTTGTATTCTTACTTATGGCTGTAAAAAACAGTAGCATTTTTCAGGCATATTTTCTTTTCATTAAATTGAACACAATTGTAAAAACTGCGCGATGATATGTTTTTTTTTTTAAATTCAACTTTATTTATATATAATTGCTTAACCCTGCATCAGTCGCGTTGTTTAATATCACACAAGAAGTCGCGCGTCTACATTTGTAGAACAATCACAATTTTATTGTTGTCATTAATAATTTGTTATTACAAAATAAATAAATGATTTGACCAAATTATTCAATAATCATATTAAATGTATATTTTTAATCAAATTGTTGTACAATATTAATTAATTTAATATACATATGTCGAAAGTCCTATTACAATTTAAAGGAGTTAAAATATTATGCATGAATGCTTATAATTATTTTGTTAGTCTTTTAATTTTAAGTTTTAATTAGTATCCATTTCATCTGAAGATGTACTGTATTGTTTTTTATTGAAACAACAATCGCATATATATTTGAGGTGATCGTTGCATATCCATTTATAGCAAGTTTCGCATGAATTACGTGTGCTTCTGTTACGTGCTCGTCCACATAGATGACATTTACCAACTCCACCTGGGCGGGTGTTTTTGTAAAACGGGTAATTATTTTGTAAAATAATTAAAATTATTTTACAAAATAAATAAAGAAAAAGTATCATGACATAGGTACAAATATTATAAATAATTTATATAGGTACCAAAAACAATAACATATAAGTATTATATATTATATATTATATTATATAAATATTATATAATATAAATTATAATGTATAACGTTAATATAAGCTTAAACTATTTCATTTTAATACAAATTACGGGAGTTTAAAATATGAGATGTAGTATAAAAGTTACGTACCCGAGTCGTCGCGTAATCTACAATAGTAGAACATAAAACTTGATTGCTCAATATACGGAACTACACTGAAAGATAAACTCCGAAATCATTACAGTTTTCAATCATATAATGTTGTTAAAAGGTATTTAGTTTATCATTGTCATTGGGTAATTCCAAAACCATCTAAAATTAAATTGATTATCACTGTACTACAATAGTAGAACGCGCGACTGATGCAGGGTTAACTCTGTGGTTTTCAACCTTTTTAACAACGTAGCACACTTCTTCTCCTACACAATTTTCGCGGCACACCAATTCATATAATCCGTGATATAATACCTATAGTATATATTTAGATATATAATATTTATTTATTTTTTTGTGGTACACTTCAAGGGCGCTCGCGGCACACCGGTTGAAAACTACTGGCTTAACTGCATAACTATTAATAATTATTTATTCATAATATTCATATATACTTCATAGTTTCAGTACTTGAATAAAGTAATATTACCTTATAGTATCGTATCAAAAGACTCAATCATTGAACAACTTATATCCATTTGGGAGTATTCTAGAAGATTGTTTAAATGTGAAAATTCTCAAAAATTAGAAACATTATTCACAACTGCACCAGATTAGTATGTCATAAATTTTATTATGGTTAATAATATTATTTATAATAGAAATTACTTTTTGTGTCAAGATTGATTGAACCACTTACAATGTGTARACAGGATCATCTCACATTATTCTCAAGTATTCACCATAACTTTGGTTAGAAATTGTGTATATTTTATAATGTGTTTTATGCTAATTGTAATTTTTACATTCTGTTTCCAGTTGCTGAATTTGATTGTTGTGTTTCCAAATTGTTTACAGTAGATTTGATTTTAAATTTATATGATTTGGATTGGATACTAGTGATTTTTGATTATTGCAGAAAACTCTTGCAAAATTACAGAGTAATGATTAATTTATACAACCATACAATAAATAAAAATGTAATTGTAGTTAATTGCAGATGTTTGTAATTAATTGATAAATTTAAACTAAGCAGCATTGGAAAATTCATATGAAAAATATTGTTTTTGATTGACTTAAACAAAAAAGAAGAAGAATTAACATTCATTACCAACATTCAATATGTTCTTATGGTATCCAAATTACAGCAAATTTATTGACTGTGAATTRTTCATATTTTATTAATTACTTATTATGACTTATGAACTACTAGGTCCATTGAAAGTATTTTTTATTGTAATTGACATTAAGTACCTATTTAATTAATTTATATATATTATATATATTTTGTCTCATATTTCATGTGCTTATGTAATTGATTATGGTCATAGCTTGACATTCTGATAATGAATATTATTATGTTTAATTATCCATATTTTTTTTAATTTGCTTGTCATTTTTCTTATTACTCAAATATATTATGCATTTGATTTAATATCATACACTACAATCATATAAAAGGTATACCTAACATTAATAATTAAATCATAAATAAATTAATTAATTGAAGTTTTCATAGGGACGTGTTATTCTATAAAATACTGAAATTGGTCTCCTCGGAAGTTGTGCAATATCCAAAGTATTTTAAAAATTAAAGTTGAACTGAAAATTATGTTTTTTCTTGCACTAAATGTATAAAAAAAATGAAAAAGCCTTAAACAACCAATAAGACCCAAGTCTTCTCTGTTGTTAAATTACTTTAAAATATAAGTAATTAATGTTGAAATAACATTGTAAAAGACGATTTTCCATTTTGCATAGATTAATAACATGGACTAGGTCAGCAAATGTTTTGAAATTTCTGAATATAGAACATATGTATTAGTATTTAATATATTATGTATAATGGTACAATTAAGCTCCTAAAAAATGTTGATGTGTCTAACAAGATGATTAATTTAATATTGTATTAATTAAAATTTAAAAGTAAAGATTTTACATTAGTTATGTAAACAAACTTTAATAGAATAATAATGTATGCACCAGTGATTGTCAACCTTTTAGGGTCCACGGATCCTTTAGATTTTGAAATAAAATATAGGGCTCCCATACAAACGTTTAAAACAAACAAATTTACATTATTTGATCATTTTAATCTAACTTTATTTAATGATAAGTATTTAATTATTTTAAATATTAATAATAGGAAACATTTTTTTGTTTTGTTTTTTTTTTTGATTAATTTTTTACAATTGAAATTTCAATTAATTTATTTTTAGTTTTAATTTCGAACGCGGTTCGGCGGTTCCCTTGTATACTAACTACTAACAGTATACACTAATATGTATTCTATATGGTACTTTTTGAAAAATATTTAAAGCTCAATCATATATTTTAATTGTTAATTAATAACGACAATAAATTAATATTATCTAGGTATTGTAGCAAATTGAAGTAGGTACTTTTATGTATAAGGTATATATTATAATGGGCGCATGTAAACTCCATCGATTGCGACCTTTTTAGACCTTTTTTCATGAAAACTCCACCGGTACATTTTTTTACCAGAAAAAAAATGTAAACTCCACCGGTACCATGGTTTTTCATAGCAGCATCAAGTCAATGTTTCCAATTTTTTTTTTTCAATAATGTAATAAATATATTTTAATAATAAATTCCAAATTATATAATTTTTAAGGTCATTTTTTGAGGTAAAATACATTTTTTAAGGACAATTTTGGCTATTTTTTAGAGCATATTTGTATGGTTTTGAGTACATTTAAATCCGGGCCCTAATTATAATGTATGAATATATCTATTGTATTTGAATACAATAGTTAAAAAAAATCGTATAAAAATCAAATAGAAATAATAGAAAAATATATAATTATTAACATTACGTAAGTAATACGTACCTACATAATTTATGTACATATTTATTATTTATATATATTATATTCAGAATATTCAGATACTTTTTTATTTAAATTATGGCGTTTATTGAGAATTTACAATCTGTACATTATAAACAATAAGTAAATATGATATAAGAATAATATAAAGACTTTGAGTGACATGAAGGAATACTCGCAGTCGAGTCACCTTTTACAAAGAATTAAAAATAAATGATTAATACATTTTTTTTTTTTATGACTTATATAAATGTATTTTAATGGCTAAGCAGATCTCTGCACCAGTTGCGTTTGAGACGTCTTGTGGGGTTGTCTGGAAGAGTTTTTGAGGCCAGTTGAGAGATGAGGTGGTTGTGGTTCATGAGGAGTTTCCCATGAAATCTTTTATTGAATTTGGTGGCTGTGTCGTGGACAGTTTTGATTTGGAGGTCATCGTGGAGTAATTTGTTCGTTACGTACCATGGAGCTTTGGCAATGATACGTAGACAAATTGATTGGAATGCTTGGATCGTGTTTGCATTTGATWTTTTGGTTGSGCCCCATAGTACGATGCCGTAGGTCCATAAGGGTCGGAGGAGGGTTTTGTATATAAGGATTTTGTTTTGAATGTTGGTGTTAGATCTTAGTAAGGGTCTAAGTAGATGAAGTCTACTAT